CCTAAGGGGTGTAGTGTGCCATCTCTGATTTTTAGGTTACATGCTCTGTCCATGATGTTTCTGTGTGTGTGTGTGTGTGTGTGTGTGTGTGTGTGTGTGCGTTTTCTAGGGACAGTTCTGGTCTAGTGGCAAAGGGGTTGAAGTCTGCCATCTCTGATTACCATGTTACTTCCTCTGTACTTGGTGTTTGTTTGTGTGTTTGTATGTGTTTCCGGAGGAGTGAGTTCTAATCTAGTGGTGACTGATTTAAAGGTGTAAAGTCTGCCATCTCTGATTACCATGTTTTGTGATCTGTCTTTAATGTTTGTGTGTTTGTTTGCTTGTGTTTACTCAGGACGTGAGTTCTGGCCTGGTGGCGGCCGCCATGATCGCGGCGGTTCCCGGCTACATCTCCCGTTCCGTGGCGGGGTCGTACGATAACGAGGGCATCGCCATCTTCTGCATGCTGCTGACCTACCTGCTCTGGATCAAGGCGGTCAAAACCGGTTCTCTGTTCTGGGGAGCCATGTGTGCTCTGGCCTACTTCTACATGGTGAGTTCATGGTCCATTCTCAGAACTACCAATATATAGGAGCTCAGGATTCTTTATGACTATGAAAGTCAGTCCAATATAAGCTCAGGATTCTTTATCACTTTGACAGTCAGTCCAATAGGAGCTTGGACCATGAAAGTCAGTCCAATAGGAGTTCAGGATTCTTTATCACTATTAGAGTCAGTCCAATAGGAGCTCAGGATTCTTTGAGTATGAAAAATCAGTCCAATAGGAGCTCAGGATTCTTTATCACTATGAAAGTTAGTCCAATAGGAGCTCAGAATTCTTTATCACTTGTCTATGAATGTCAGTCCAATAGGAGCTCAGGATTCTTTATCACTATGAAAGTTAGTCCAATAGGAGCTCAGGATTCTTTATCACTATGAATGTTAGTCCAATAGGAGCTCAGAATTCTTTATCACTTGTCTATGAATGTCAGTCCAATAGGAGCTCATGATTCTTTATCACTATGAAAGTTAGTCCAATAGGAGCTCAGGATTCTTTATCACTATGAAGGTTAGTCCAATAGGAGCTCAGGATTCTTTATCACTTTGAAAGTCAGTCCAATAGGAGCTCAGGATTCTTTATCACTTGGAAAGTCAGTCCAATAGGAACTCAGGATTCTTTATGACTATGAAAATCAGTCCAATAGGAGCTCAGGATTCTTTATGGCTGTGATCACTTTTTCACCATCAAGCTTCTGTTACTTGACTTGTGGAATGGCCTCTAGTAGAAGCTTGTAATGTATTTAATTGGTGTGGCCATATATATGATACTAGGCATAGACTGAGATGTGCACTTGAGATTCACCTATCTGATTCTGCGCTAGCATATCTATGCCAAAGTCAAGTGCAAGGGGACACAATGTCGGGTAGAGAGATTGTCATTTCTCTGGGATCCTGTACAGTTTGATCCTTGCTACAATTGTTGATCACCTTACTGTATCCTGCCACTTGATTGGTCAAATAAGCGCTGGCTTAGCTGTCATCTGATTATATCCATCTATCTGATTGGTCGAAAACTGCATCTTGTTGGTCAGTTGTTTGTGTCAAACCATTTGATTGGTCCATTGGTCTTACTTATTATCACCTGATTGTATCCAGCCATTTGATTGGCCAAGAGCTCTGGTTTTCCTACTTGTATCAAGTGATTTTATTGGACAAAGGCTGTTTGGAAGCTACCATAGCCCTCCCTTGAGCATGGGCATAAGGACTGAACCAGGTAATGTAAAGAAAGGTATATGCCTGTTGTTTGTAAACATGTAGATGTGTAAACAGATGTTTGTGTTTATCAGGTGTCGTCGTGGGGAGGTTACGTGTTCCTGATTAACCTGATCCCGCTCCACGTGCTGGCACTCATGGCTACCGGACGCTTCAGCCATCGCATCTACGTCGCTTACTCAGCGGTATGGAAACAAACAGAACTTACTATACTTTTCAGTTAACAACATAGATTTTCAATATTTTCTCTTACCTGTGGTATTTACACACTTGTTTCAAATCTGTTGCAATAAACTTCAATTCTGGATTGAAAAAAATAGAAAAGATTTTGCAAGATATGAGAAAAACATTGAAGTCTACTAAGCAAACTGAATTTACCAAGTTCTACTCCTTTGTGGGGTTGTGTGGCGCAACGGCAGCATGCGTGACTCGGAACCAAGAGGTCCCGGGTTCGAGTCCTGACATGCCACCGATCTTGTGCTCTTGGAACAGGCACTTTACACGACTTTCCCCACAAGACAGAAGCGTAAATGAGTATTGTCTGTCCTGTATTAATTTTTTGTTTCTATGTGCAGGACACAACACCAGCAACAACTGCCTCTGTTCCGCGTGTATTGCATTGTTGCAATTTCAATAAAATCAAATCAGTTCTACTCCGCTGATCTAAAGTGACGTCTTGAGTTCTTCAATTGTCTGTTTGACTTTGTTTTAAGCTTTATTTATTCTTGTAGGCTACTTTCCATGATATAGCTCATGTATATCTTTGACTAAGCTTGATTGATTTCACTATTGCAGACATATACATATATTGTATGTAATAAAAGTTGTTTTGTGTTTCTATTTCAGGTGTACAGTTTGGGCACCCTGCTGTCCATGCAGATCTCCTTTGTGGGATTCCAGCCTGTCCAGTCTTCAGAACACATGGCTGTGAGTAGACTCTACACTAGAAAGAAACAAAGGTCTCCCGTGCTCTTATGCAGAGCGTAGGGTGGTGCCCATATCCATTTCTGTAGCCCTTGGGCGACACACAGTTGTGCAAGCACTACAGCAGGGGGCTAGTCCTCTCTACATGAAAAGAAACGGTTATCAGATTCTGTTAAAAGACTAGAGTAATTTTATACGGTATCCAACATTGTAGAATTTTATCCAACAGGCCGTACATATTTTTAACTGACTTCTTCCAGTCCTTAAAACCCACTCCAGGTTTAATTTTGTTTGCAAAAAAAGTTTCCTGGCAATTTTTTCAGACTTGTGGGCTAACTCTCAAAGCATGCTATTTTGTTCGAGGTAGGCTGTATAAAAACTTAAATTCTCCACATCAAGATGTTGAAATAGATGCCTTTTGAAAGTTAAGCCTTTAAAGGTAATAAGAATTGCAAATTCTAAAACTAGTGTTAGAAACTAGTGTTAGAATGGTGTGTGTTTGTTTGTTACTCCAGCACTGGGAGTGTTTGGACTTTGTGATTAGACTGACGATAATTGTTCATTTGCTTGTTTGTTTGTGTCTCCAGGCCCTGGGTGTGTTTGGTCTGTGCCAGATCCATGCCTTTATTGACTACCTGCGCTCCAAGCTGTCCAAAGAGTACTTTGAGATCCTGTTCCGGACCATGGCTCTGTTTGTAGGCACTGCTGTCACCGGTGTCGGGGCTGTCCTCATGGCTTCTGGCAGTATCCTTCAAGTAGTGGTAGTGTTATGATATGAAAAATGACGTGATTATGATACGAGAAAGTCAACATAAAACAATGCAAAGCAAATGCATAATGTTTACCTTCGCATGTGCTCTGCTCTGTTAATTCTTACTCAAACACATACATATATATATGATGACAGGAGTCTAAATCCCTCCTGCTATAAAATTGCAACATGATGTAACCCAACACTAGTTACCATGGTAACAGACACAACATTGGTTCAGGTCATTGAGGTCACTGTTTGGAGAAGGAGAGGAAGAGCAAAAACACTAAATTATGTTTTTCTTCGGTAAACATAAAATTAAAAAGCCTTGACCGGTGAACAGAAATCGCTCCATGGACCGGCCGTTTCTACTCCCTGTTGGACCCGTCCTATGCGAAGAACAACATCCCCATCATCGCGTCTGTGTCTGAACATCAGCCCACTACATGGTCGTCTTTCTACTTCGACCTGCAGATGCTGGTCTTCATGTTCCCTGGTAAGACTAATTGTTCCCTGCTAAGAGGTCTTCTTAAAGATCTGTTATTCTTGAAGTGTTCAACTGTCTTCTTGTTTATCAGTAAAAAACTTAAAGATCAAGTCTTATGTCTTACAGTGTTTTGATGTTCACTGGTAAGGGGTGTCATAAAGACAGAGTATTAAGTCTGGAAGTGTCTTAATGTTAACTTCTTTGGAGCTTTTTAGAGATTGATTCATAAGTTTTAAAGTTGTCGTCATTCTCAGGTTGTATGTAGTTTTCATAGTAACAAACTTTAAAATACTGACCACCACTTATTTTGCTTGAAGTAATATTTTGGGTTGATGTCTGTGTGTGTTTCCACATTGCAGTTTCTGTATATTCTGCCAGAGGTGGTGAAGTCTTGTTGTAAGTTGACTCAGTTATATTTGATGTTCATCCTGTACTTTTCAGTTGGTCTGTACTACTGCTTCTGCAGACTGACTGATGCCAACATCTTCATTGTCATCTACGGCATCACCAGCATCTACTTTGCAGTAAGTCTCAGACAATGTAAAGAATTAGCAGTTGTGATTGGATGTTAACCCTTTGCCCCCCTTGGTAGCCAAAGGACAGACTGATTTGTAGGCATTTCCCTTCCATCTTCTATGAAACCTAGATATGCAGTCGTAGTGCTGTCTACCAGTTCGCTAGACTGATTCCAGACTTGTAAAAATGTTTAGGTTCAAGTAAAAATTCCTAAAAGTCAAGAACTGATTCCGGAATTAGCACCAAAAAAAACATGTCACATACCCCTTTTCTTTCCAAACCACCTAAAACCTTCCATAGATTGCAAAATCTGTGCTGCAAAATAAAGAAAACATTACCATCAGGCATCGTCAAGTACCGGCATCCATGTTATGTGACCACAGTTTTGCCCAGACAACATTGCAAGATTGCCAACATGCAATCTTATGCCAATCTGTATATGCCATGGGTTTAGGTCAGGACTTATGAGTCCGGAACTGAACCTAAATTTCTGGACTTGAACTCGGACATGAACCTAAATGTGGGTATAGCTACACAGCACTATGCAGACGGTATACATATATTTCCAACCCTGTATTGACAGAGTTGTTTTTCCCTCCCTAGGGTGTGATGGTACGTCTGATGTTGGTGTTAGCTCCTGTTATGTGTATCCTGTCTGGCATTGGTGTGTCTGGCATCCTCAGCACATACATGAAGGTAGGGTTGGGTTTTCCTTTTTAATGTCAGTGTTCGAAATACCTGTCTGCAATCTGCAGATAGATTTTCAAGATTACAGAAGAAAAATTTATACAATCTGCAATTTTGCAGAAGGAAAAATAGACTCCAGATTCAATAGTTTTCAATTTAGCAAACTAGAACTCTCTGGCCCCAAGGACAGACAACACTTGAGCTCCTGTTCTGAAACAACAGGAGCTTCTTCACTAATTTGCATCCTTGTCTTGACTTGTCTATCTTTTGTTTCCTTTTTGACTTCCAAAAATTTGTCTTCACTAATTTGCATATCATTCAATAGTTTTTGCTTATAAACCTGCAGTTCTCCTTCAGTCTCTTAGTGTCACTGATGAGAAACGTAATAGTCTGACCGTTTTAGGTAGCACCAAAATTATATACAGCTACTTGAGTAACTGTTTTTTTGTGTCTTTTATGAGTATGTTTTAGTATGTTTTTGCAGAAAGTATTTCCAAATTGCAGAACAAAATTTTGACTCTTCTGCAATATTGCAGAGCACTGAAAAAAAGTATTTCGACCACTGAATGTTCTTATAGAAACATTTCTTGCCATGAAAGTTGTACATCCAAGTCCTCAAGTTTTGTGTGTTGATTGTGTTTAGACCTTACGGAACTTACGAAAAGTTAATGTTGAAAAATCCATTTGCAATGTAAAAGTTATGTTTGCATCTTCTTATCAACAATTTTCATAACTTTGTTTGCTTGCTCAGATTTATGTAGTCATTTGTGGTGAGTCACACAATTTTTATGTAATTTTCTTGTAGAACCTGGACATCTCCAAGGTCCAGAAGAAGACCAAGAAAACTGACACCAACTACCCTATCAAGAATGAGGTTACTGCACATATAGTCAAGCACTTCTGTTCCTTTTCTACACACACAAGTTCCTACTGTGGCACAGGTCATAAAAGAAATTATGTTAGATTAAAAAATGAAAACTATCTAGAAGTTCAAAAGCTGGAAGCTACAATTATCATAACACTAAGTCTTATCCTTAAACATACAATAGCCATTTCTTGTCACTAAATACACTAAATTAATATATAATATGCTCGTTTGTTTTCAGCCTTTTGTTGCAATTTTTAAACACACTCGTAAGGTGTCATATTTTGAGGCCTGCACTTTCTGAATGACTCTTATTTGCAAAATTTAAATAGGGTTGATTCAACATACTTTGAGCAGAAATGATCAGAAAATTGACTTTTTGTATCGTCCTATAACACCTCTCAGTGGCAGATGTTGTCACATTGGCGCACCAAATCCATAGTGTGTTTTTGGCACCCAGTTAGATAGATTAGCTTAAGAGGCTCTGTGGGTGTCACTCCACTGTATAGGTGGGGAAGTCGTGTAAAGTGCCTTTCCCAAGGGCACAACTTCGGGCCACAGCGACTATCAAACCCGGGACCTCTGGGTTCCGAGTCCAACGCTCTAACCGTTGCGCCACCGACGCCACTGTTACATAAAGCAGCTTTGATATCGTTCTTCTCCCCCGCCTCCAGGTTGCGAGTGTGGTGATCATGATGATGTCCCTGTTCCTGATCACGTACACATTCCACTGTACCTGGGTCACGTCCGAGGCCTACTCCAGCCCCTCCATCGTTCTCTCCGCCCGCGGCGGTGACGGCAGCAGGATCATCTTCGACGACTTCAGGGAGGCCTACTATTGGCTCAGGCACAACACTCCGGAGGTGGGTCACCAGGGGTCAATCAGGATCTTTAGTCTTAATCTTTGTCTTTCAAGGGAAGAAAAAGTCGAGATTCTAAAGCCTATGTACTATTGGCTCAGGCACAACACTCCGGAGGTGGGTCACCAGGGGTCAATCAGGATCTTTAGTCTTAATCTTTGTCTTTCAAGGGAAGAAAAAGTCGAGATTCTAAAGCCTATGTACTATTGGCTCAGGCACAACACTCCGGAGGTGGGTGGGGACAATCATGGCAGGGCTCTAGCCAGCACCCGTTTTTCTTTCAATTGCAGGAACTTTGCGACGTGTGACAGAATTTTTTTTTTTTTAACCAATCTGTCAACCTTGATGGACAAATCTTGTGTAAAAATTTATAACATCCAAAGGACCACTACCAACCACTCTCAACCCCATGATTTGCCTCTCAAAATGTGGGAAATTGCATTTTTAAAGGCTTGAAAATCCGAAATATGCGCCCAGACCCCATAGATTATGAGCACACACCCCGGGTCCAATCATGAACCTGAGCTGACGGAAAAAACTGACTAGAGTCCTGATTCATGAGCGTTAGTCTTAATCTTTGGGTTTCAAGGGAAGAAAAATCTAGATTCTAAAGCCTACTTCATACAATTGGCTCAGGCACAACAATCCAAAGGTGTGCATGTTCCTAATGGTTTATTTATTTATTTTTTATTATTGTTTCTTTATTTCAAAGGAAGCAAAAGTAAGAATTCAAAAGCCTATGAATTACTAAAGTACACTGTGCTGGGTATATTCTCAAGTCCTCACTCATATAATTACATTAGCTCGCCATAGTTAGTGTCTCTCCGAGCCTTTGAAGAATCAGTTTTTAATTTGGTTTTGTTTTACCTCGATGAAGGTTAGACATCCAGGTAATACGATATGCCAAAAAACAGTTACTCAAGCAACTGGATATGATTTTGAAAACGTCAGACGTTTCAGCTAGTTGGCACTTGGGATTTGGCACTCCCAGCCCCGAGGACAGACAACACTTAAGCTCCTGTCCTGTATAACAGGAGCTTTCAGACTAATTTGCATCATCTTGTCTTGACTTGTCTGACTTTTGTTCCTTTTTCGACTTCCAAAAATTTGTCTTCACTTTATTTGCATATCAATCAACAGGTTGTGTATATAAACCTGCTTTCCCCTCTGGTCTCTCAGTCACTGACGAAAGCTAGTGGATACTAGCTGAAACGTCTGACGTTTTCAAAATCATATCCAGTTGCTTGAGTAACTGTTTTTTGGCATATTTGGTTTTGTTTTGTTTTGGCCCAGATGAAGAAAAGGCATCAGGGATATTGTCATTGTTGCAAACTTATACAGAATTGAATCAAGAAAAAATTATCTCTACTGTTCTTCGCCTAAGACTAGTATTGTAAGTAGAGCATTTTTTTTTTTCATTTTGTTCCTGGAGTTACTAGATTTAACCTATGACCTGTTGTGTCCCAGGATGCCAAGGTGATGTCGTGGTGGGATTATGGGTATCAGATAACAGCCATGGCCAACAGGACTATACTGGTGGACAACAACACCTGGAACAACACTCACATATCCAGGGTCGGACAGGTAAAACTTTATCAGTGTTTCTTTTAACAGCTAATAAAGATTTTTAGCTAATTACATGTAGACACTATAGAAAGCATCTGTTACACACATTACAGATATATATTCTCAGAAATGCTCAACAGCCAGCTTTTAAAAAGTTTTACACATTTCAATATTATCAGTTGTTTTATTACTTCATCTCAAGTGAGGTGTTGTTTTTGGCTTGTCATTTGTGTGTTTCTGCAATTTGGAATATACAAAAGTCTGCCATTTCTGACTGCCTTGTTGTCAGTTGGGGGCTAGAAAACAAAAAAAATTTAGTCCTCATCATAGAGCTGTGTACCGGTACGCAGTACCGATACTGTACCGGAAAAATTGATTAGGTACAGGTCCAAAATACCTAATCCCTCAGTACCGGTACTGTACCTAAACAATTTCACACCAATTTTATGCCTATTTGTGACCTCAAATGTTTAAATAGCTGGTTAACAATGGGTGCCTGTGTAAGGACAGTGTGTTCATGAAAACAAAAACATCTTAGTTTTGCCTATATTTTATCTGAGCATTCGCCATAAACAAAGAATAAACCTTAACTATCAAGTTTATTTATGTTTTTTTGTTATTGAAGGAGTTCAGAAGAGCATATAAATTGGTCGAATTGTTCAGGTACAGGTTCAGGTCCGGACCTGTACCTAAACCTGTGTACCTGTACCTGTACCTGTACCTAAAATTTGTTTAGGTACACAGCTCTACCTCATCAGTAGTTAAGGAAAAGATATCTCCTTTCAGAACTACATGTACGTTACACTTTAAGATTTAATTTTGAGTAAGAGCTGAATGTTTACAGACGTTCTCTATTGTAAGTTCATGCCAGAGGGCTAATTGCAAACTGACATTAAAAAGGACAATGAGTATAGAATGTATTGAGGAATAGTCTAAAACCAGATGCTAACATGAAGTTCTAAGTTCTACATTTACTTGACACATTTTGCATTTTTTCCTATGTTAGGCCATGGCATCGAGTGAGGAACATGCCTACGAGATCATGCGAGAACTGGATGTAAATTACGTCCTGGTCATCTTTGGTGGTCTCACAGGCTACTCTTCTGATGGTAGGTGTATTGAAAAGATCTTAAGATAGTTTTTGAAAAAAACTGCACCTCTCATATAATTGAGCAATGTACTGTGACTACTGTTTGTTCCAAACTTTAACATGTAATTACAGCTATAATATCCAAACCATCTTTAGGTAAAGAGAGAAACATATAGAGCAGTGACTGTGCTAACCCTTTTAATATACAGCTAGAATTTAGTACAAAATGTAGAATTAACAAGAACACTAGTTAGTAACAAGCCTATACATTGGTAAGAACTTTTACTGTTCTTCCCACAGACATTGATACGTTCTTGTGGATGCCATTTACAAAGTGATATGATTAAGGGGTTGAAGTCTGCCATCTCTGATTGCCTTGTTTTTGTGATATGATTTTTATAGACATAAACAAGTTCCTGTGGATGGTTCGTATTGGAGGCAGTACGGAGAAGGGTGAGCACATCAAGGAACACGACTACTACACGCCGTCAGGAGAGTTCCGTGTAGACCGCGAGGGCTCCCCCACCCTGCTCAACTGTCTCATGTACAAGATGTGCTACTATCGCTTCGGCTCTGTCTACACCGAAGGAGGTCAGTTACTCAGGGCTCTTATTATGTTTACCGAAGGAAAAAATATTGTTTTTGTTCTGTTTCCTCTTCCGTTCCAAACACAACTGGTCAATGACCAGAAACAGACGTCTGTCACCATGGTAACTGGTGTTGGGTTACATCATGTTGCAATTTTATAGCAGGAGGGATTTAGACTCCTCTCACCATTTATATGGATGTGTTGGACAAACTTTGAGTAAGAATTGACAGAGCAGACCATATGCAAAGGTAAACAAATAAATGAATAGAAAAAGCAAAAAAATTGTAAATACATGTATTCTGTTGCTAACATCATTCTAACATGCTGTCTCAACAAGCCGTAGATTTTATAACCATTTTTGAAAACATTTTGTAAAAATTTTATGTTGCTACCTCTCCCAAATTTTCCAGGCAAGCCCACTGGCTACGACCGTGTCCGCAACGCTGAGATCGGCAACAAAGACTTCGAGCTGGATGTCTTAGAAGAAGCGTACACAACCGAACACTGGCTGGTCCGCATCTACAAAGTCAAAGACTTAGAAAACAGGGGAATCTAGTCTCTTAACACACTTTATATACAGAGTACTGTATTACCAAGATTTTGCATATGAAAGTATCAAGACACGATAGATATGAAAATACCTAGACAGATTTTGATACATCCGCCAATATGATAAGCAATATCATCAGAATAATACTTTTAACATCAGAAACAGTCGTGGTAAAACTGCCATACCACTGTAAGAATGGTCAAAGCTTCAACCCAAATACCAGCTTGGATAAGAAGTATGAATCTGTAATGTAAAGACTCAATGAAGGTTAGAAATCCATGTAGAGCATAATGATAATTATGTAATTTACAAAATACTAGTAACCAAGCAACTGGAAAAATTTGGAAGTGTCAGACATTTCAGATAGTATCAACAACTTTTCATTAGTTTTTAGTGACTGAGAAATATGTTACAGTGACTGATGAAAAATAGCAGAAGCTATAAGAAATGTCTGACTGTTCAGGGAATTTTTCCAATTGCTTGATGTAAAGACTTCATTTTCTGTAACATCACACTGTAGCTTGGATCGAAACATCACATTAACACAAGAAAATGTAACTGGTAGAGCTCTTTTTAGATGTATAATTTTTTGTACTTCAGTCTATATGTGACAAAATATTTGTCACATTGTACTTCTCTAAGAGTCTAAAATAGGTTTCACTTTGTGTCTTCTCTGTGCGGCTTAAGATGTCAGAACTATCTAAGTAAAGGACCGGTCTACAGTGTTCTACTTTGTACTTCACATTCCTGTTACAACAAGGTATAAAAGCCACTGACTACTACTTCTGATGACTGCTTGTTTTAATGAGAACATATTAAATCTGATTCCAGTCGATCTCCAATATGTGTTGTCTTTTTGAAAAGATTTGTGTTCATTTTCTGAGTGTGTGTCTGTGTGTGAGTGTATGTGTGTGTTTGAGTGCGTGTATCACAGTGTATGTGTGTGTGTGTGTAACTGTGTGTGTTTGAGTGTGTGTGTCTCTGTGTTTGAGTGTGTGTGTCACAGTGTGTGTGTTTGAGTGTGTGTGAGAGTTTTTCCAAGCACACTTGGTCACCCCTACTCTAAATAAGTGTGTTGGGTTCTTTCTAAGGCAGCATCTAAACACAAGACCAAAAGATGATCTAAATTGATAGGTTATTTCAAAGTAAAACTGTAGCCTATTAAACTTATATATGATTATTAGTGACAAGCATCTGTGGAAAGCAATTTTTATAATATGCTGCACTCCCATGAAATCCAAAATGGACCAGTCCTATTCACCGAAATTTTAAACTCTGCTCTCTCCTTCAAACAAAGAGTTTGCGTCATCGTAAGAATGAATGGTTAATGCATTTTTCATTCAAGCTTGCCAGTACCATTGGCGTTTAATTTGAATTTTTTTTCTGGCAAAAATCGGCCCCCATAATCTTGCACAGATGGACTGATCCGCCGGCCCCCAAAACCCCAGTGCGAGATCTAATTACTAGCTGGATGAGACAGAAGCTCGACCGGCACGAAAGGTAAGAAATACTGACTAAATATTTGCATCCCAAGCTCGGCGCTTGTTTTAGAATTTGTCTAGCGAATTCTGTATTTGGTTTTCACCTATTTTGTTGGTGAAGGGGATTGATAATGAGATTTACACAGTGGAAAACCGGAACAAAATTCTGGCTTGGGGAGGGGGGGCGGTATAATATTCCACGCAACATTTTCCAGGAGTTTAGCTCCTTCAATTGTTTAGCGTGCCATTTCTTCAGAATCCTCTGAATACAATTTATCACGATAAAGACTGAGTATTGAGCACAGATATCACATCAGATCAGCAATGTAATACTATTACTAATAGGGAAAATTCAAAAGATTGGATTTGAATAAAATATTCATTTGACAAATTGACATACATGTAGGCAATGAATTATTCAAGTAATTTTAACATAAGTCAGTCAAAATAGGATAAATAATATGAGTTGCTAAAACACTTTAGTACGTAACGTTACTGCATGATTTGATTGACCCGAATTTCAAATTTCAATGACTAAGTCAGTGACAATATACATAATAACTTTATTGCACAACAGTTGTACATGGTACAAAGTATGGCAAAAACATGTAGCTAGAGAATATATGTGGACATGTTCTCTACCTTGTGCAAAAATTGTGTATTTTCCATCATACAATACATGTATATATGGCTTACAGTTTTGTATATGCACAAAAATTATAACGAGTAAGAAAATTACATGTAGTAGACAACTACTAGTATAGTTTGCTAAGAAAGAACTCGTTCATTTGTAATTTATCATTACAAAGTGTCATCAAATTCCAATCTTATAATGTTACTGTCTTCTTTGCATAATGCAGGAGAAGAGGGGAGTTCCACTATTGATGGAGGAAGGTGTTTTCACCAGAGAAGGGGAGATCCACTAGTGATGTTGATAGGTGGAGATGCCCAATACCTGAGCCTCATCTTGTCAGCCGATCATATAACTATAAAAAAAAACAGGCTCACAAAGTCAAACGGAAGCCCTTCTTCCTTGATGTTGAACTTGCAATAATTTCATAGAAAGCACCGACAACATGGATATTAAATCAAATGGTACCGACTCACCGCAATCTGGAGATTCTACGTACGGCCACGTAAAAAGTTTGCCACAGAAAAGGAAACGGGGCAGACCCAGAAAATCGCATGTGCATGGGAAGTTGAACTTGCAATACTTTCCAGAAAGCACAGACAACATGCATGTGGATAACAAATCAAATAGTACCAGTTCACCGCAATCTGGAGATTCTACACATGGCCATGTGAAAAGTTCGCCACAGGAAAGGAATCGGGGCAGACCCAGAAAATCGCATGTGTGTGGGAAGTTGAACTTACAATACTCTCTAGACAGCTCGGACAACATGCATATGGATAACAAATCAAATAGTACTGACTCACCGCAATACGGAGATATTACACACGGACACATAAAAACTTCACCACAGGAAAGGAAACGGGGCAGACCCAGAAAATCGCATGTGCGTGGGAAGCTGAACTTGCAATTCTTTCCAAAATGCTCTGACCATTTGGATAACAAAAAATCTGGAGATACTACACATGGCCACGTAAAAAGTTCACCACAGAAAATGACACGGGGCAGACCCAGAAAAAAAGCGCACGTGTGTGGAAAGTGTGGTTATACCACACGCCTAAGTTACAGGTTCAGGCAGCATGTGAGTCTACATACAGGGGAGAGACCTTACAGGTGTGACCAGTGTGACTACGCGGCTATTCAGAAGGTCAACCTACTCAAACACATGGCGGGTCATGCCAGGAACAGCCGTGTGAAGTGTCAGCAGTGTGGGTACAGCACAAACCAGCAATCAGCTCTCTCAAGGCACTTGGCTGTCCATTTGGAACAGAAAGCCACAAATAGCAACAACGCTGTAACTTCAGACTCTAAAAAATCCAGATACAAAGCGAAACAGCAACTTTTCTGCGATCAAGACAAACCTGAGACAAATATCGAACCAGTTCCTTCAACACAGTACCAGAGTGCTCAAACAAATCATACGACAACGCACAACGAAAAGGAAGCCGAAAAAGTTTGCAATGCTACGCATATGCCATCTACAGTAGCTGAACGTGTTGATCCAAATGTCAGGAAGCGAACATTAGTGAATGGTGAAAGAGAACCCAAGACAAAGCAGGGCAAAGATCAAAAGAGGCGCAAAAAGAAGTTAAAGGACAACAACGAGACGAAACCATTTGTGTGTACGAAGTGCGGTTATGCCACTGCGCATAAGCGCGACTTCAAAAGACACATGCTGAAACATAGTAGCGAGAAGCCCTACAAGTGTGACCGCTGTGACTACTCTGCCATTCAAAAGAGTCATTTGCATGCTCACATGAAGGGCCACACGCGCAATGGTCTTCTGAAGTGTAAGTACTGTGGCTTCAGCTCAGATTATCAATCTGTGGTCACAAGGCATGAAGAAGTCCATCTACGCAAGGAAGCTGACAAGAGTGGCAATTCCACAACATCACAAGGAGAGAACCCACACGTTAACAGTGAAACTCCACCGTTACTGAACATCAAGGATAGATACAAACTGAGAGACAAAGTAGGTGTGGTGAAACCTGAAACAGCTCACACAGGAGAGAAACCATACAAACACAGAAGACGTGCTAGTAACGCAGAGGATGAAATGCGTCAAAGTATCGAAGCAAGCGCGTCAAATTCGTCAGCAACTTTCCTGTGTTGGAAGTGCCAAGAGATTCACACTGCAGAAAAACCCTGCAAGATACGAAGACCTGATCCAGAAGAGGAAGAAAGGCCTGTGAGTCGGAAAATCAAACGGAGTGCGTCAAACCTGTCCAAGCCTTTCCGTTGTGGACAGTGCGCGTACCTCACGAATGACGTCTGGAAGTTTGACCACCACCTGCTGGAACATTCGTGTCTGGACTTGTCCAAGAAGCGATATCTGTGTGGTCTGTGTTCATTTACGGCAGCAAAGAAGTCTTCCTGGGATAGGCACACACTCAAGCACTGCGACACAAAGCCATTTGCCTGCAACAAATGCAACTTCCGGACAAAGTATGAAGTCTACCTGTCGGCTCATGCCAAAAGGATGCACCCTTCGCAAAAACCCAAAACTTACAAACATGTTAAAAAACACGTGCCCAAATTTTCCCGTCCGAGGTATGACCCAAAGTCAAAGTACAAGGACATGTACACGGTAAAATACAATTACCCTGCTACTGCGTACAGCTGCAAAAAGTGCGAGTATGCGGCGGCTTTGAAGGTGTTAATTCTGCGTCATGTAAAAACCCACACATGAGGGAATTCTCAGAACTGTGACAACAGTTTATACTGTGAGTCAACCTGGAGACCAAAATAAACAGGTCTCCAAGGCTTTAACTTCAAGTCGAAGAATGATGAAGGTTACTAAGTTTTCCTCTCCAAAGTCTGACAAGAAATCACAGAATTGTGACGGCAACAACAGTTCCTACAGTCAAGCTGGGGACGAAAAACAGGTTTTCAAGTCGGAGAATGACACAGGTTACCAAGTTTTCCCATCCAAAGTCTGACCCAAAGCCATA